CAGCTTTTCTACTGATATCTAAAGTACTAATCATCACATTTCAATGAATCTAGAATTATGCAGACCCAATGAGTTTCTGGTAAATATTTGTGCATATTAATCACCTAATTTGCATAATTAACCAACTTTCACACTGATATCTCGGGTACTGTAGGACAATAGACAGACCTGGATAATTGTGGGTTAAAACCTGTACATATTAATTACCTAATTTGCATAATTAACCAATTTTAAGCTTTCACACTGATATCTAAAGTACTAATTATTCCATTTCAATGAAACTTAGTACAAAGATGCTCTAGGACAATGTACAAACCTAATTAGTTTGGGGTAAAAATCTGTTCATATTAATTCCCTAATAAGCATAATAATTCATAATTTTTTGGTTCTAATCACATTTCAATTAAACTTGGAAACATAGATTTTCTGTTACATTGCGCAGACCTCATTAGTTTTACACTCAAATCTGTTCATATTAATTTTCTGATTTGCATAATTAGTTTTCAGCCAAGTAATTTCGAATTATATTTAATGTGTCTCCAATACTCTCAGCACATTCTTTCTAAGCTTTCTTTGATTTTTTTTTTCAGGACACATCAGAATATCTGTACTTGTTTGAATTGACATTGAGTAAACACGATTGTAAGGCAGTAATATCATTGAAATGGGAAGGTGAAGAGGCAACCACTTCACCAACAGAAGAATTTCAAAAATTATGTTGTATAATCCTTAATTCGTAGATGTACCTTTTACTCTTATTGGATGTATTAAGTTTATCATACTGCAGAATACTTTATTTTTGCTATTTTCACTGAAGTAATAATTCAGTTTAAATAAAATCCAGCGAATATTCCTTTTTCCCTATACTTTAGATTAAACTTATCAAGAATCAGTGAAAATAAATTCCATATAAAACACCCAAAAAGTCCATTCAAAGAAAATTAATTCCAGCTAAAATAAAGTATTTAACAGTAGCTATTTAGTATAATACATTGTACAAGTTACTTGTTTATGATTGTAACTACCATGGATGTATTGAAAAAGTAGTAAATCAATAAATAACTGCTTGGACCAATAAATGATGTATAGTGATAGATAATATTTGGTAATCATTGTCCTAAGCAACTATTAAAACGTCTTGTCTATTTTTGAGCTATGGCAATAAACTCCACTGTATTGAACAGTTACAATGTAATTCAACTGTACTAAAAAATTGATCCAGTGGACTTCAGAATTTAGAGCAATACATGTATAGGTGCGTGCGTTCCATCATCCCAAGCATTCCATTCCTGTAACAAAGACAGGATGCGAGGGACACCTTCGTCATTCAACTTTCCCACTGTTCTGGCAATTAAATAGAACTGTTCAGCAATGCTTAAGGTAGCGAGACTATTATTTGTGTTGAAAATTTCACATTTATTAATTGATGAAATGCACTATAAACTTTCATGTGATAAAGTCAACATAACATAGAATCTCATGTAAGTTGGTTAAAATGTAGATTTTCTGAAGGGGAGCAAGGCAGCCTCAGTAGCGTTTTCTAAAATCAACAACACAGGTTTAATTTGTGTGCCTCTAAGTTTCAAAGATAAACTCAAGACAAAGCAATGTTAGGATGTGTTATCAGTAGCTATCTGACACACAATGAGTGTTTCCAAACATTTGAGTGGTTTGTCTCCGCCCCTGTTTATTTCACAGATTAGTCATTTGCATAAGAATGTGTCAGACACAAGGTTACACAGCCACTGAAAAAAAAATCATTGATTTTGGTGTTTTCATATGTCGAATTTATCCAATTATAGCTATCCCATTCCTTTATTTTTTTGGTTTCCAATAGCCGTACACATTTGGATGTCCAAATAGACCATGATCTGAAAAATTGATTGTGCCGATAAACAAGCTTGAAAATCTTTGCTGTTACTTCATGGACGTTTTCTAGGAATTTATGTTTTTCAAAATACAAGGTCTTTAACAAAAAATAACTTGTACTTATTGTCGTCGGATTTACACCAAATTTTCACAGCTTTTGGGTGACAGTGAGAGGAACTTGAATGTGTCCAGACAAACTATTTCATTGATTATTTACCAACGAGTTTGAGTTGGGGGCAATGCGACTAAAACAGTAATTGAAATTCAGCACACTATTATTTAAAACGCGTTGCATGAATAAAACTGCCCAGACACATTCAATTTACCAGACTATTGAACAACTAGGAAAAGTGAAAAAAATACTTATCGCTAGCATAAATGCGTAATTATTTTTTTTACAGAAAAAGTAATTTTTCACCTTTGATTGAGTAACGCATCGTAGAATGCAGATACGAGCATGAAAAACACCTTTGACAAGCTTGAAGTCTGGCGATTCTAAAAATATATACTTTCCTGGGTCTATTTGTAGTCATTTAGTCACAGAAGATGAAAACAAGTGTGCAAACAAGCAGCCTATCGGCTGAGATAGCTCCGCTGTTAGCAATGCACATTTCAATTAAAAAACTAAAGACATTAGAAAATGAACAATATGTATAGTATCAAAGCAATCGGACTTGCACTTTTTACCAAAAAAGGTTAAAAATATTCACAAAAATTAAAGAATCAAAGATATCACCACAAAATGAACAAATCTGAGAGGTCCACATGTAGTACACAAATGTACCTATATATGTAATATCAAAGCAATCAGACTTACAGTTTTTAACAAGAAGTCGAAAATATCACTTTTTACCAAAAATGACAAAAATATTCACCAAAATTAGAGAATTAAAGATATCACGAAATGAACAAATCTGAGAGAGGTTTACCCAAGGTACATATACACCAAGTACATATACACCAAGTATCAAAGCATTCAGACTTGTAGTTTTCAAGAAGTCGAAAAAGTAAAACATTAACACGGACGACAACGGACAATCACTCATATGATAAGCTCCGCTCGACAAAGTCGACAGCGGAGCTAATAATAGTCCCACTACCTTAAGCATAATCAACAAGTTCATATAGTTTTGGCAACTATACCACCACATCCTAGAGGGGGGGTCCCAACCACTACAGGTTGAATTACTAAGGAATGAGACTGAAATACTGCTGATTTGGCAGTGTTTAATTCATGAATTTTTAGTTTGGTTTAGACAACCAGATTTATTGTCTTTAAGTTGACAAATTAGTGGACCACAGATTTTTAAAACTGGAGCAATAGGAAAATTATTTGCTTAACTATTTAGATTACCTCTTTGCAAATTTGTCACCAATTGAATAATACAATTTACCGTCTTGTTTTAAGTTAGTGTAATACCAGACACATTCAGAGATAAAAAGAATTTAAAGTTTCAGCTGAAAGTAAAGAAGCCGGGGTCCAAGAACCATAGTTGATCAAATTGCAATACAGACACTGCACCTTTGCCAGGACCTCACACTTGCCGATGAAGTCACTCAATTTTTCTGTTAGCACTTCATCTTCGATTAGCACAGCCACTTTCTTGTCAAGCCATGCCCAACAAAATTTGTTCCTAACGTCTATCGATTTCTCGCAGTGAACTTTTCTTTTGTAACCAATTTCACCATTATTGCTGCATGAAACTTGTAAACAATGATCCAACGCAGCTAATAAAATGCCACCGTTGGTGAAAAGAAAAATGAAAGCTCTATTCGTTCGGATTTAGACCTTTCAAAAAATAAATCCTAGGGGTTGAGAAATCCGCAGAAAATTCTCATCCCTGCACATTTAATGCATATTAGACAAACATCTATTTGGCATGCCATAGTTTATTCCATTTACACTTTCCTTGCCCAATGAACAGCCAGTCACAAAAGGTTTAGTTCTTGGTTTATAATAGACAATAAACTTAATACCAGTAACTTTATTCTTGCGACAACAAAAAAACATTACATTTGCTATAATACATTTTAAACAAAACATTAACCATCCAGGATTTGCAACGCTTGTTAAATGCACTGTCAAACGTTTAGTCATAAATGGTTACCAAGAAACAAATCTAACTTTGACAGATGAACAGCACTAAATGTCTATGGGAGCTGGTGTATTATAAATTGTTGCCATAGTAACTAGCAGCACTCTCGTATAGTATAGTATTTTATTTCAATCGCGTCATATTTTGGTGGATATCCAATTGGTCAACATTAGCATCATTTCCATCGTCTTCATAAACATTTTAATCGACTTCTTCGATGGTTGGTCCGCCACTGCCACCAGTATTACCACCGGCACCAGGAGCTCCACCAGCACCAGGGAAACCGCCAGGCATGCCTCCTGGCATACCACCAGGCATACCACCAGGTGCACCACCTGCAGCTTGGTATAGTTTAGTGATGATTGGATTGCACACCTTTTCAAGCTCTTTCTGTTGGTATTCAAATTCATCTTTCTCAGCACTCTGAAATGTAGAAAACACAAGTACTGTAAGTTTAGAAAAAAGCAAGTGTTGCCAAAAACACATTTTGTAAATCTTCATGGTACTGTCTGAACACCATAAAGTGCGGATGGGTAATACAAGATTAACTGCTAAATACATAATCAAACAGGCAAGTTTTTGATATATTTTTTCAACAATATACCTAGCTGAAGGGTCGAGTTTAAAGTTAATTGCATTGTCAATCGGAAAATCTCCAGTACTCAAAATGAATTGAGAGAAAAGTGCAGAGGGTAGGATATCTACTATATACAGTAAAACCTGTCAAAACCGACCCCTGGATAAACCGACCTACTGTCAGAACCGACCGATTTATGTAGCCCCGAAATTTCTCCATAGACGCCTATGTTAAAACAACCTGTGAAATCCGACCACTGTTTACTCCGAACACCGACCGCATTGATCGGTCCCAAGTCCAATATTCACACTGAATACATCGACCATCCGACCATTTGCACCACATCCGCTGTCTAGTAATTCGGTCTGCCCGACCTAAAAAGTGTGCATTGTGTTCAAATTCCGCGAACGTCACAGAAACAATACCAAATCTCACACTACAAGTAACGTCCCGTGTAAAACAATGGCAACTGATTACATTTTTCACACCACACGCCCACGCATCGCGTGGTGTCTGGACAGTATAATGACCCCGGATATAAACAAATGATCGGGGTCATCACCTTCAATTGCGGTGAAGCACACTGCATTATCACTTCTTCAACGCTCAAAAGACATTGAGTTTTCTTCTTTCCATAACGATTCTGATCGACAATTTTGTGCTTTCGAATGTTTCCGTAAAGGGGGCTTCATGATTGAAATTTATGATGACGAAGAAGCAGACGACAACAAAGAATTCGGAAACCTTATTTAGCAAGTTGCAGACCCGCAA